CAAGTCCCACAATGCTTTGGCAGCTGGAGGTCTTTGATGGTTGTATTTAGCAATGATCAGTGTTTGTGTGTGTGAATGTAAGCATGTTTTTGTATGTAGTGTTTGTGAATATTGACTTTTGAATGCAGACGTGCATTTGTGTGTAGTGTATATACTGCCACACACAGATACACAAAAACACTTACACACACAAACACTGATACACACACACACACCAATATACATGCAAATACACACATACACTGACATATTTGCAGCCTCCTTCATGTTAGCTTATCTTTTGTCTGTAGGAGGATGACTTGCTTGGGGTTCTGCTGTCTGAGGCTAATAGGAGTGGGTCCTGCAGCAGCTAGCTCCTTCTTGCTGCCTATGCTGTGCCTCCTCTTCGGCCCATGAGGCACAGTTTATCTCTCTCCATCTCTGGGAGGAAGTGATCACTTCCTCCAAGCATCCAATACTACAGGGGTCTGTTAAAGTGCCTGGACGGGCCGGTGTTCACCATACACATCGAGTGGCCCTAAGTGAATGGGTCATCCAATGACCCCTCCAACAATTTGCAAGCCATGGTGCAGTGCACTGAAAGTTTTTCCACCACTGTTAAGGTAAACTCCACACTGTGAACAGGCTGCTGGGCAAGTAACAATCATCATAGTTGTCACCCTCTGAAGGTGGCCTTGGTGGCAGATATAAAATATGCAAAACGCCAAGGACAAAAAAAATGCATATGGAAAAAATGCAAAAAAAAAAAATCCTTTCTGTATACAACAAAGTGAACCCTGTTTACTATACTTTGGATTTACCCAGTTCTATGCAGATACTTAACGTCTGTCATACCTCCCTATTGAAACCTCTTGTATGTAATCGGTTCACTGGGCCTCTTGCTCCTCCACTTCCTATTTCAGTTCTCGAGGTTGAGAAATATCAGGTTGAATCTATTCTTGACTCTAGATACTTGGGGTGGCCTCTTCAATATTTTATTCATTGGAAGGGGTATGGTTCTGAAGAGCATAGTTGGGTCCATGTCCCCCAAGTTGATCCGTTCTTTTCACCTCCATCACCTGGGCAAGCCTTTCATACCTGGTGTGCGTATCCTGCTGGGTGCTTAATGTCACAAAACTGTTTGATGACTAAATAGACCGCGTGGATAGAACAATGTAAAAGCAAACAATATTATACTTACCAATTCAATTCCAGTGAACCCTGCCTCCTATCTGTCATTGCGGGATGAATTCAGTCCTCAACTCCATCTTCAAACTTCTCATAGAACTTTGGAAGCTGTCTGATCAAATGGCTAATCTTTATGGAGTTTGAATTAACGAAACATCACATACAGTGTTAAAGTGGCCACCTCGCACTTTTTGGAGTTGCAGATATGATGTGGACCATTTAGAAGCCATGTAAGCTTATAAAATGCTTGTCTGGACCCTTATTCAGTACTATTGTGGTTTCTACCTTGATACATGTATAGTTCTTACAGTAAATCTTTCTTGTGTTTCTGATATTTACCTGGCTTGTATATTAACTTTGAGAATTTCTGGAATCCTGTCCCATCTTGTTTATGTGTACATCTGTATTTCTATAATTCTGACCTTGACTTTTTCTGAAATTGACTCTATCTTTATATACTGTTAAGTCCGGCCATTCTAAGTCCGGGTAATACGTCTATATTTCAACCTCTATTGTCAACCCTGTGACACTCCCACACAGTAAATAGATTAAATAGGTGAAAGGTCCAATTTCACTGTTTGCATTACATTACCAAGCCAGAAATTTATAGAGCTTGCTACAGCACTTTTTAAATACCTTTATTTTAAAGGAACACTATAGTCACCTATACAACTTTAGCTTAATGAAGCAGTTTTGGTGTATAGAACATGCCCCTGCAGCCTCACTGCTCAATCCTCTGCCATTTAGGAGTTAAATCCCTTTGTTTATGAACCCTAGTCACACCTCCCTGCATGTGGCTTGCACAGCCTTCCATAAGCACTTCCTGTAAAGAGAGCCCTATTAAGGCTTTCTTTATTGCAAGTTCTGTTTTATTAAGATTTTCTTATCCCCTGCTATGTTAATAGCTTGCTAGACCCTGCAAGAGCCTCCTGTATGTGAATAAAGTTCAATTTAGAGATTGAAATACAATTATTTAACGTAAATGACATCTGTTTGAAAGTGAAACCATTTTTTTTTTTTCATGCAGGCTCTGTCAATCATAGCCAGGGGAGGTGTGGCTAGGGCTGCATAAACAGAAACAAAGTGATTTAACTCCTAAATGACAGTGAATAGAGCAGTGACATTGCAGGGGAATGATCTATACACTAAAACTGCTTTATTTAGATAAAGTAATTAAGGTGACTATAGTGTTCCTTTAAATGTATATGATTTTACAGTATTATTTATTTTACTGTATGTGGGAATTTTGTTCAATAGCATACATTATCTTCACATGTTGCAATTTTCAGTTATGAACTGTTAGGGTCTTTACTAGACATATGCAATTCATTTCAGTCAGAATATGAATTCGGAAAAAATTCGGACATTCGGGTACTTCCGAATGTCTGAATTGCCGAGGTTCCGAAGCACAGTATTGCCTAAGTACTAATATACTTACCCAGTGAAAGAAGAAGAATGTTACATTGTATACAATTTTAAATAAAAAGTATATAAACATAGCCAGGATTCAGCTGTAAGCATTTGCAACACTTACAACAATCAAGTAACATGCATTCATATAAAATGTAAGTTACTTAGCCTGTCAATGTAATGACAGGAATGAAGAAGTAGATAACTCCCTAATTCCCACGGTATTAGGGAGCTATCTACTAAAAGGCTGAAAGACCTAAATTGGTCTTTTAGCCAAATTTACTAATACTAAGTAAAGATTACTTAGTATTAGTAAAATATGCTCCTACTCGCTATACCGCGAGTAGGGGCATGTCTATTAAACAGTGCTCACTGTGGGGGCCCTAAATTATAATATGGGGGTGGACCTAATGTCCTCCCCCCTGGCCCCCACCCCTGAGCGGTGGGTGGGGCCCTAAATACTAATAAGGATGAGAGACCTAATGTCCTCCCCCCTGGTCCCCACCCCTGAGCGGTGGGTGGGGCCCTAAATACTAATAAGGAGGAGAGACCTAATGTCCTCCCACCTGGCCCCCCTGAGCTGTGGGTGGGGGCCCTACAGTAAAATAAGGGGGGGAGACCTAATGTCCTCTCCCTGGTGCCCACTCCTGAGCGGTGGGTGGAGGCCCTAAATACTAACAAGGGGGGACCTAATGTCCTGGCCCCCACCCTGTTTTTTTTTTTTTTGGCGTCGGTTATGGTTTTTTATTTGGCCTTTTTGGGGGCTTGAAAAAGAAGATTTTAGAAGAAAGAAAACATCGAATGGTAATTTTTTTTGTTTTTTGTTTTTGGGTGACTAGCAGTTTAGGGACCCCTAGTCACCTGGGGGGAAACATTTTTTTTTAGGGCCCCCACCCGCTGCTCAGGGGTGGGTGCCAGGGGGGAGGACATTAGGTCCCCCCCTTATTAGTATTTAGGGCCCCCACCCGCCGCTCAGGGGGGAGGACATTAGGTCCCCCCTTATTAGTATTTAGGGCCCCCACCCACCGCTCAGGGGGGAGGACATTAGGCCCCCCCCTTATTCCAATTTAGGGCCCCCACCCGCAGCTCAGGGGTGGGGGCCTGGGGGAGGACATTAGGTCCCCCCCTTATTAGTATTTAGGGCCCCCACCCGCCGCTCAGGGGGGAGGACATTAATTCCCTCTTTATTAGTATTTAGGGCCCCTACTCACCGCTCAGGGGGGAGGACAATAGGTCCCCCCCCCCCCATCATTTTACTTTAGGGCCCTCACCCGCCGCTCAGGGGGGGGAGGCAATAGGTCCCCCCTTTAGTTTAAAAGCCCCCACTCGCGCGTCTCAGGTGGGTGGACCCTATATATATATTTTTTTTTTAAAACAGTGAGCAGCCACAGGCTGCTCACTGTTTACTAGACAAATACCCCCTACTCGCGGTATAGCGAGTAGGGGCAACATTTACTAATACTAAGTAATTTTTACTTAGTATTAGTAAATTTGTCTGAAAGACCAATTTAGGTCTTTCAGCCTTTTGGTAGATAACTCCCTAATACAGTGGGAATTAGGGAGTTATCTACTAAGCGGCTGCAATAGAAGTGCTGAATTTCCGAAGTTCTGAAGTGCTGAAGTTCTGAAGTTGCCAAAGTGTTGAAGTGCCGAATTGCCGAAGTCCCGAATTGCGAAATTCCCGAATTTCGGAATGCCGAACCGAAAATTTTCCCCATGCACATGCCTAGTCTTTACAAATACATATACGAAGGCTATTTGATCAGTTGTATTTATATGTTTTTTGTTGTTTTTTAAAATTTCCTTTTATTGAAGAATTTCCAGTGAGAACATAAAGTGAATGCATATAAGGAGAAGGAAAAACATAAAAAGAAAAATATGAGCCAAAGAAAGATTATGGAGAATTTTTGGTCTACATTAGAGCTGGTTGGGATGCAACACACTAATGTTTGAAAAGCAATCTATACATAAATTTGCTGTTATATCATATGTTTATTCTCTAGCTATGCATCCTTTGTTTTGCTGAGGGCATACATGGAATTCTTATTGCTCTTACTCTAAAAAAAACCCTTTTCTTTGCCTTAGATGAAATCTCCTTTCTTCCAGCCTAATTGTGTGACCTCGTGTCCTATGTATAGCCCTGTTTATGAATAGATTTCCAGATAATGGTTTATACTGGCCCCGAATATATTTGTATAATGTTATCATATTCCCTCTCAGGCGCTGTTTTTCCAAACTAAAGAGATTTATATTTTTTTTAACCTTTCTTCATAACTAAAATGCTCCATTCCTTTTATCAATTTTGTAGCTCGTCTCTGCACTTTTTCTAGTGCCATGATATCCTTCTTTAGAACAGGTGCCCAAAATTGCACAGCATATTCAAGGTGTGGTCTTACCAGCGATTTATAAAGAGGCAAAATTATATTTTCATCTCGAATTTATGCCCCTATTTATACATGACAAAACTTTACTGGCCTTAGCAATGGCAGATTGACATTGCATATTGCTGCCTAATTTGTAACAATTCCCAGATCCTTCTCGTGAGTGGTTATCCCTAGTTCACTACCATTTAGGGTGTAAATTGCTTGTGCATTCTTAACCCCGAAGTGCATAACTTTGCATTTCTCTACGTTAAATTTAATCTGCCATTTTAGTGCCCAGTCCCCCAATCTATCCAAATCCCTCTGCAGCAAGGCAATATCCTGCTCAGATTTTATTACTTTACAAAGTTTTGTGTCATCTGCAAACACTGATACATGGCTTTCAATGCCCATTTCAAGATAATTTATAAATATGTTAAATAGAAGCTGTCCCAAAACAGAACCCTGAGGGACACCACTTACCACGTTTGTCCAGCTTGCAAATTTACCATTAATGACAACTCGTTGTACTCTATCCTTAAGCCAATGTTCTACCCAAGAACATGAATATTCATCTAGACCAATTTCTTTTAGTTTGAAGGCTAACCTATTGTGAGGAACCGTATCATGCTGATTATTGCTAATAACACAATTCTTCCCAATGAATTCCTGAATATTATCCCTTAATTATTTTGAACCCTTTTTAATTATAGGAACAACATCTGCCTTCCTCCAATCCTCCGGTACAATACCTGAAACAAAAGAATCTTGAAAAATTAAATACAGAGGTTCACTTATTTCCCCATTTGGCTCCTTAAGTGTGGAAATAAGGGTGGATAACTTAAGGATGGATACCGTGCTTTTACTTTTTTGAGTTTATTTCAAAAGTTACCATATTGTGATCACAATTTCCCAAATGCTCCCCTACTTGAATGTTGGTTAAAAGATCAACATTGTTTTTTATAACGAGATCCAGACAAGCATCCTTTCTAGTTGGTGCTTGTACCAGTTGTGACATAAAGGTGTCATTTAACACATTCAAAAACCGGATTCCCCTTGCTGAAGTACTAGTCTTTCTGTCCGGGTAATTAAAATCTCCAATAATTAACGTGTTACCCCGATTTGCAGCTTTCCCAATTTGCTCTAACAGCAGTTCTTCCTCATTAATATTTACATTTGGTGGTTTATAACAATCCCAACCAATAATTTATTTCCCTTTGTTTGCCCCAAGCAGATATCTACCCATAAAGCTTCCACATTTTCCTCGTCACACTCCACATGCCTAAGATTTGACTTTAACTCATGGCTGACATACAAACATACCCCACCACCCTTCTTGTTTTTCCTATCCTTCCTAAATAATGTGTACCCATTTAAGTAAACATGTGTCTCATCCCACCATGTTTCTGTTATGCCTATTATATCATATTGTTTAGTGTATGCTATTGCCTCTAGTTCCCCCATTTTGTTATATAGGCTCCTTACATTAGTAAGCATACATTTAATATTACCATGAGTCATTTGTACTTTTTGTGAAATATCAATATTACATACCTCCTCTGTTCTGAGCTTTCCCCTCCCCCCATCTCCACCCCCTTTGTTCTGAGCTAAGCCCATCTCATTTCTATCCTATCTCCATTTTCTATATTGCTTTGACCCTCCCTCCCTACTACTAGTTTAAAATCCAACCTTCTAGCCATCCTATCCCCCAGCACAGCAAACCTCTTCCGTTTAGGTGCAATCCATCACGACTATACAGGTTGTACCCAAGCGCAAAATCGGCCCAGTGCTCTAAAAACCCCAAATCCTCTTTCCTGCACCAAGACTTCAGCCACGCATTGACCTCTCTAATCTCTCGCTGCCTTTCTGCTATAGCACGAGGCACAGGTAATATTTCTGAAAATATTACCTTGGAGGTCCTTTTCTTTAGTTTACTTCCTAGATCCCTGAACTCACTCTTTAGGACCTTCCATTTTCCTCTGACTTTGTCATTGGTACCCGTAAGGACCATGACAGCTGGGTCATCCCCAGCCCCTCCCAATAATCCCTCCACTCTGTTGGCAACATGGCGGACCCGAGCACCCGGGAGACAGCAAACTGTCCGGTTGAGTCGATCAGAGTGGCAGATTACCCTATTTACTCTCTTAATAATAGAGTCCCCGGGGTGCGGGGGCTGGGCCGCCGAACTGGACGGCTGCAAGGGAGACCAGCTCCTGCAACCCCGGACTAAATAAGCCTTAAAAATACGATTTTCAACACAAAACCGACCGGCAACCGTGGCCCTCAGCGGGCAGAGGGATCAATACCCAGGGTGAGGCTGGCCCGAAGGGCTACAGTCCCCTGGAGGAAGATTCATCACTGGCAGTATTGAGGCCTACACCAGCGGTGAGCGGGGCGGACGGCCGCTGCCCGCTATCCTGCCAACCAGCGCTCAACCATGTGCCAGACCCGCGGGGAACCGGCTCCGTGCCCCCCCCCCTCTCCTTTGGACCGGCGGGGTGATCCCGGTCCCCACCCTCGAGACCAGACTACTGCATAGCAAATCAGGCGCGGCGGCAGGGCCGCCAAGACCCGCAATCCAGGCACCAAAAATAGGACAGCGGAGGCCATGTGTGATGGCGCCAAGACCTGAGCCACTACAGGTTAATCACCTGCATCGACAGAACCGGGGAGGACCGTTTATAATAAGGACATTCTCATGAGGCTAAGTGACACGGACATCATTGCCATAGCAGGGACACTAAAACTCAACTTCTGTGAGCTGCCAGCATTTCTCCTTACAGACAGGCTTAGTCTCACGCCTATTGAAAGAATGGCCCTGTATGATCCAGCAGTAAGATGCACCTTCTGTGATCTCTACCCGACCCTAATCAAATGACTTTCCTCTCTCTGCTTCAGCACCTAAAAAGAACGAAAACAGCAATCCTGCCTGGGTTACTGAGCCTCCCAAACCATCCCAAAAGCCATCCCAAAACCTGGGAATGCATCCTGCCCATGACAGGCACAGGCTGACTGCACAGAAGGTTGCTGGATCAACTATCACACCACCCACAGGCAGTAGAAATCACCCTTCTACACCTAACTGAATGCTAAGGTGGACATTTCTGTTGAACGTCTGGTATGCGTGCTGACTGCGCCATTGTTCCAAATAATTTCACACTGCACTAGCTACTAAAGCACCTGAAACCTGAAACACTAGCCTGAATTCCTAAGCATAATGCTGCCTCTGCTGGCTCAGTAATTTGTTAACCACTTCCCTATGTTTGTAAGACATACATGTCGCACTACACACAAGCTACAGATGTATAATCTTAAAGCGCGACTAGCATTGTTAAAAGCATGTCATCTTAAATAAGCATAGTCCACTAGTTTGTTAACTTCATATCATATAAAAATTTGCCGACTACACTGCCACATTGTGAATGCCATAAAAATGCTGTAAAATTGTGCATGTGTTCTCAGACACCCCAAAAGTAAAACGTGATAAAAAAATAGCTAGAGGATGACACGGCATAATAATCTACTATCTAGAAAGTAAAAAGCAATGTTATTTTATGCTATGTTTTGAAACTATCTAAGCAACGTAAACATATACTGTCTATCTCCTTACCACAAAAAAAAAAAAAGTGCAAGATATACTGTCTACCCCTATGTTTAAACTGTTCATAATGCGCTAGAGGAATGCCTTTGGGGTACCTCATAAGCAACTGTTATAATCGTACGCACTACAAAAATAAAGAATTTTTTAAAAAAAATAATAGAATCCCCTACCACCACAACCTGTCTAGACTGCCTTACCCTCTCAACCCCACCCGTACTAGAGGGGCTGTTCCCACGGCTGTTAGAAGGAACAGCTTCCTGCAGTACAGCTACTCCTGAGCTGCTGATCCCAAAATCTTCACTCAAACGGTCAAATCTGTTAGGCTGCACTAGATCAGGACTAGCTAAACCAGAGACAGCGTAACAAAAATAAATCCAGAAAAACGCATGTCAAAGTTATAAATTGATTTGCATGTCAATGAGTGAAATAAGTATTTGATACCCTATCAATCAGAAAGATTTCTGGCTCCCAGGTGTCTTTTATACAGGTAACGAGCTGAGATTAGGTGCACTCTCTTAAAGGGACATATAAAAGACACCTGTCCACAGAAGCAATCAATCAGATTCCAAACTCTCCTCCATTGCCAAGACCAAAGAGCTATCCAATGTCAGGGACAAGATTGTAGACCTACACAAGGCTGGAATGGGCTAGAAGACCATCGCCAAGCAGCTTGATGAGAAGGTGACAACAGTTGGTGCGATTATTTGCAAATGGAAGAAACACAAAATAACTGTCAGTCTCCCTCGGTCTGGTGCACTATGCAAGATCTCACCTCGTGGAGTTTCAATGATCAACGGTGAGGAATCAACCCAGAACTACACAGAAGGATCTTGTTAATGATCTTAAGGCAGCTGGGACCATAGTCACCAAGAAAACAATTGGTAAAACACTACGCCGTGAAGGACTGAAATTCTGCAGCGCCCGCAAGGTTCCCCTGCTCAAGAAAGCACATGTACAGGCCTGTCATAAGGATGAACATCTGAATGATTCAGAGGAGAACTGGGGTGAGAAGTGTTGTGGTCTGGGAGAAGTGTTGTGGTCAGATGAGACCAAAATTGAGCTCTTTGATATCAACTCAACTCGCCGTGTTTGGAGGAGGAGGAAGGCTGCCAATGACCCCAAGAACATCATCTTTCAAACATGGAGGTGGAAACATTATGAATTGGGGTGTTTTTCTGCTAAGGGGACAGGTCAACTGCACCACATCAAAGAGACAATGGACGGGGCCATGTACCGTCGAATCTTTGGTGAGAACCTTCTTCCCTCAGCCAGGGCATTGAAAATAGGTGGTGGATGGGTATTCCAGCATTACAATGACCCAAAACACACACAGCCAAGGCAACAAAGGAGTGGCTCAAGAAGAAGCACATTAAGGTCCTGGAGTGGCCTAGCCAGTCTCCAGACCTTAATCCCATAGAAAATCTGTGGAGGGAGCTGAAGGTTCGAGTTGCCAAATGTCAGCCTTGAAACCTTAATGACTTGGAGAGGATCTGCAAAGAGGAGTGGGACAAAATCCCTCCTGAGATATGTGCAAACCTGGTGGCCAACTACAAGAAACGTCTGACCTCTCTGATTGCCAACAAGGGATTTGCCACCAAGTACTAAGTCGAAGGGGTCAAATCCTTATTTCACTCATTGACATGCAAATCAATTTATAACTTTTTTGACATGCATTTTTCTGGATTTATTTTTGTTACTATGTCTCTCACTGATAAAATACACCTACCATTAACATTGTAGACTGATCATTTCTTTGTCAGTGAGCAGTGGTTCAAAATCGGCAGGGGATCAAATACTTTTTTTCCTTACTGTATGTTTAAAAGAAAAAAAAAACTGTCAAGCCAATACATTGCAATGCTGAGCTTTAACGCTTTAAGGACGGCAGGTGTTCTATGTCGTCCTTTTATGGCGGTCCTAAATGCCAATGGGCAGCATAGAAAGTCCCTGCCGTCCTTTGGACTTACCAGGTCCCCGCCGTTCCCATGCTGGGGGTCGTGATCGTGCGGTCTGCCCCCTCTGCCTGATCCGGCCCCCTCCGGCCATGTGATCGCGGGGTCCTTGCGATCACATGGCCGGAATAGCCGGCTTTTGCTCTAAGTACTTTTATATGCACATACACATACATAAACCATTAATAAAAGTGTATTTTAATATTAATATATATATAATGATATATATTAATATTAAAATACACATAGAATGATGTTATATATATATTAATTTTATATATATATATATGTATATAATAAAAATACATTTTGAACAAATTATATACCAGTTTTAATTTGTTCTGACTGTATTTTGATAATATACATATATATTAAATTCAAAATACATTTAGAATGACATTATAAATACATATATGTATCTATATATCTATCTCTCTCTATATATAGCTAAATATAAATAAAAATAATTATATATACATATATATTTAAATTTTACAAATATATTTATATAATATTTTTACATAATCAAGTGATTTTATTAATTACAATTTGAGGGACCTGCCTGACAACCCAGGCTAAAAGTCCAGAGAATTTGGCTCGCAAGCCCTATATTTAACCCTGTAACTTTCTAGGACCCCATAAAACCTGTACATGGGGGGTACTGTTTTACTTGGGAGACTTCGCTGAACACAAATATTAGCGTTTTAAAACAGTAAAACATATCACAACAATATCGTCAGTAAAAATGCAGTTTTTTGCCTTTTTCACACACAAATGGTACTTCCACTGAAGATATAATTGTTGTGATACATTTTACTATTTTGAAACACTAATATTTGTGTTCCACAAAGTTTCCCGAGTATAACAGTACCCCCATGTACAGGTTTTATGGTGTTTTCAAAAGTTAGTGTGACATGGCTTGAGTTTCCTTTATTTTACATCGAAATTTGTCCGATTGGTTATGTTATGTTACCCAAGGTATTGCAAATGGGGTATGTCCAGTCTTTTAAGTAGCCACAAACACTGGCCAAAATTAGCGTTCAATTTTGTTAACAAATATGAACGCTAAATTTGGCCAGTGTGTGTAACTAAGTGGCTACTTGAAAAGACTGGACATAACCCATTTTGTAATAACTTGGGTTGTCTACTTTTGAAAATGGTATGCCATCATAGGGGTAATTTTAATTCCTGGGCTACCATTTGGTCTCAAAGGCAACATAACCAATCTGGCAAATTCCATTGTGTATAAACTGAAAAAATGTAACATGCTATATTTGACCCTGCAACTTCCAAAAACACCATAAAACATGTACATATATGGGGTACTGTTTTACACGTGAGACATCACTGAATACAAATATGTGTATTTTATTGCAGTAAAAGCAAACAGTATTTTGACATTCACAGTTAAAATGTCATGCAGAACTAAAAGAAATCACAAAATTTCTCATTTTCTTCCATTTGTTTAATATTTTATTCATATTAAATAGTTTCATAGCTAAATATTTGATGTTAAATGAAAGCCCTGTTTCCCCTGAATAAAATGATATATAATACATGGGGGTGCACTTAATATAAAACAGGTGTATTATGGTTAAACAGACATATAGTCAAATTCCAGGTTTTGTTTTGTTTTGATCACAACGTGTACATTTGACTCAGTCCTTAAGGGGTTAATACATGAAGCTATGGAGAAATAAGTTATTTGTTGTGTATTAAAGGAACACTCCAAGCACCCTAACCACTACTGTGCACTGTAGTGGTTATTGTGCCTGGTGTGTCTTGGCATCCACAATGTAAGCCGTCAAACCATCTGAAAACACTTTGGCAGCAATTTTGGTTTCCACCGGGCACTTCCACCTCCTTCGTTGAGAGCTGGAAGTTTCTCTGCACTGAGCTAGCCTAGTGGGGCAGAGTTTCTCTTTAGCTGAAAACAATCAACTGATGCTCTCAGCCTATGAGCTGTCCCTGTATGGCAGTGCTTAGCTCAGGATAGCTAACAGAAGTTTCAAGCAGGAGCTACCTTGGTGAAGGAGGTGAATGCCACCCAGTAGACCCCAAGTAAGACCAAACAGCCCTGGGCACAGCTAGCACCATAACTACTATAGTTCCACAGAGTTTGGAGTGTTCCTTTAATACTATACAGTAATTTGTCTTTCCACATGAACCGTAAGTTCACGAAGAGGTTTTGCCGTGACTTTTAAATAACGTCTAGTTGTTTAAATGTGCAAGTGCACAAGTAACTTTTTTCTTTTGTTTTTACATAAAGAGGTTTTAGTGTAAATTAATTATCTCGAAAATGGTAGATATGCAGATTTTAATATTTAAAACATTTTATATATATATATATATATAATGTTTATTAGCTGGAATTTTTTAATATGAAAACATTTTGGAAAACAAAAGGGAAACTCTTTTGATAAACTCTTTCGATATTGGAATATTGATATGACTTTGATAAAAAGGACCATACCTATTACAGAAAAATACCTATGACAATAAAAAAGTTCTATTTCTGTCCAACCATTTATTTTACTATATGAAACCAGTAATTACCTCTAAAGAAAGAAAGTAATATTGTTAGAAGTGACAGAATTAAAAATTATGTTCTTTTGTTGAATTGCAATCATAGAGATGGACTTCATTGTTCCCTCCAGTTTGTCAGGTCAGTTAACTAAATAAATTACACCCTTTGTTTCCAGATCAGTGAATATGCAAAGGCATCAGACCATAAAGAGTACCTATAAAGCAATCGTTAAGCCTATATTTTACACACATGAGTTTACTCACTAAATACTAAATTCTAGTTAAATTGAAAACTAAATTGCAAAAGTTATGCGGCACTCCAGACCCTTTATGTATTATGTGTAAAGTGTGCCCTCCTTTTTTTCACTTAACAAAAAGTGCAGATTTTAACAGAAACTGGCACTTTTTAAAAATTATCCTTGTTAAACCCCCTTAGCTGTCAGAAAACCATTCATGTTACTTCTTGGTTGTTTAGCTCAGCAGAGCTAAACTCAGGAGACCGCTAATTGCTCAGAGCATCTGCCTTCCAAAGACTTCTCTTTGATTGGGAAGTCTGTAATTGGACAGCCACATAAATTCTGAGTTAGGTTACAAGGAGAGAGTGTTCAAAAGGAGATCTGCTACTTATGCAAGATGTTTTTAGATATACCCCCAAGGAAAAATATGTTTAACTACATGCTTCTTTTCATTTTGGGTATACCAACTAGACAGAAATTTAAATTTTTTCGCATTTGGCAGTGGAGTGCTAAAATCGCCAAGGTGAGACAATAGATGAGTTGGTACATTTTTCCCAAATCAACATTGTTTTGCCTAGATTTAGTAATTTAGTTTTGAACTTGCTACAATTTTATGTTTAACCCCTTACTGACCACAGATGTACTAGGTTGCTCCAACAAAAATGGTTCGCAGTATTCTTCGTACTTACCCGATCGCTGCCGTTCCCCTGCCGGCGATCGGTGTTTCTCTCCATCTGGGGGGACTGTCTGACAGCCCCTCTGCTGGTAAAAAAGTAAAATAAAAACTGTTTAATAAAGGAAAAAAATATTATGTGTGTGTGTGTGTGTGTGTGTGTGTGTGTGTGTGTGTGTGTGTATATATATGTGTATAATATATATCTTGTATATAGCGTCATACTAAGTGTATTTTTTATTAATATATACATATATTAATATAAAAATACACTTACAGTAATATTACACAGGTATGTATATAATATATACACTGCTCACAAAAATAAAGGGAACACTTAAACAACACAATGTAACTCCAAGTCAATCACACTTCTGTGAAATCAAACTGTCCACTTAGGAAGCAACACTGAGTGACAATCAATTTCACATGCTATTTTGCAAATGGGATAGACAACAGGTGGAAATTATAGGCAATTAGCAAGACACCCCCAATAAAGGAGTGGTTCTGCAGGTGGTGACCACAGACCACTTCTCAGTTCCTATGCTTCCTGGCTGATGTTTTGGTCACTTTTGAATGCTGGTGGTGCTTTCACTCTAGTGGTAGCATGAGACGGAGTCTACAACCCACACAAGTGGCTCAGGTAGTGCAGCTCATCCAGGATGGCACATCAATGCGAGCTGTGGCAAGAAGGTTTGCTGTGTCTGTCAGCATGGTGTCCAGAGCATGGAGGCGCTACCAGGAGACAGGCCAGTACATCAGGAGACATGGAGGAGGCCGTAGGAGGGCAACAACCCAGCAGCAGGACCGCTACCTCCGCTTTTGTGCAAGGAGGAGCACTGCCAGAGCCCTGCAAAATGACCTCCAGCAGGCCACAAATGTGCATGTGTCTTCTCAAATGGTCAGAAACAGACTCCATGGGGTTGGTATGAGGGCCCGACGTCCACAGGTGGGGGTTGTGCTTACAGCGCAACACCGTGCAGGACGTTTGGCATTTGCCAGAGAACACCAAGATTAGCAAATTTGCCACTGGCGCCCTGTGCTCTTTACAGATGAAAGCAGGTTCACACTGAGCACATGTGACAGACGTGACAGAGTCTGGAGACGCCGTGGAGAACGTTCTGCTGCCTGCAACATCCTCCAGCATGACCAGTTTGGCAGTGGGTCAGTAATGGTGTGGGGTGGCATTTCTTTGAGGGGGCCGAACAGCCCTCCATGTGCTCACCAGAGGTAGCCTGACAGCCATTAGGTACCGAGATGAGATCCTCAGACCCCTCATCAGGAGCATGTACAGGCATTGTAGGGGGGTCATACAGGCACGTGGAGGCCACACACAATACTGAGCCTCATTTTGACTTGTTTTAAGGACATTACATCAAAGTGTGTTTTTCCACTTTAATATTGAGTGTGACTCCAAATCCAGACCTCCATGGGTTGAAAAATTTGATTTCCATTTTTTTATTTTTGTGTGATTTTGTTGTCAGCACATTCAACTATGTAAAGAACAAAGTATTTCAGAAGAATATTTAACTCCTTTAGATCTAGGATGTGTTATTTTTGTGTTCCCCTTATTTTTTTTGAGCAGTGTATTATAACTATATATAGTGTGTGTGTGTGTGTGTGTATGTGTATATATATATATGTAATTTTATTCTAAGTGTATTTTGATATTAATATATCTATAATATATATATATATATATATATATACACTTATATCAAAATACACTTAGAATGATATAGAGCATTAGGAATACAAGCCTGCATCCCTTACATTATAGTGCCTGTGTCCCTCCCCACCCTCCTACTTGCAATAAAAATGTATAAAATAAAAGTTTTACTAACCTTTATCCTGGGACTAGACTCCCTCGGTGCTTCTCACCTCTACTGCAGTATAATTGAGGAGGTATGGCCTTCTCCGGTGGTGGTCAAATAAAATTTTCCATATAGAGTTTACTTAGTTGGTGGAGTTTACTAAGCGCCTCTAGTGGCTGTCAATATAAAATCCACTTGAGGTAGATCTAACCATGCAATGTACACATCTCAGTTTCTCAAAAACTGCAATGTTTTACATTGCGGGGTTAAAATGTCAGGGGCCACTACATCCAGACAACTTAATTGAGATGAAGTAGTTTGGGCGACTTTAGTGTCTCTTTAACCCCTTAAGGACACATGACATGTAGGACATGTCGTGATTCCCTTTTATTGCAGAAGTTTGGTTCTTAAGGGGTTAAAGGGACACTGTAGTCACTATAACCATTTTATCTCTTTGAATTGGTTATAGGGCCTGGAGTACCCTGGCACTGTCCCTCCATTCAGTGTTTTACCATGTTCATGCAGTATGCCACAAAATAAGAGTCCCTGGCCACCCATAGTCCGGCCCCTTCTGTATGTGTAGCTAAAGCAGAGATTACACACTTCCTTGTTGTCTTACCCATACATACCATCAGTTGGAGCTCTGACAGGCTAAAAGCAGTCAGCTGACACTCTCAGCCAATCACAGCTGCCCATTGCTGCTCAGGCTAATACTTCCTTATTAGCCAAAGCAGCACAGAGGGGATGGACTGCTGGGGACTCTTGTTTAGCATTGAAACATTAAAACCTGTTTAATACTGAAAGAAATGATGGTACCAGGGGACTCCAGACACTATAACCAGTTTAATGAGATGAAGCAGATACAGTGCCTACCTAGTCCCTTTAATATGTACGCCAAACAATGAACAAATGGCTGTTATAGTCAAGACCAGACATGTACATATATTCGGTCTGAACATTAAAAGACCAGCACCCCAATAGGAGGGGGTTGAGGGAAGGGGGTGACCAATGAAGCTGTGTCATCCTCCTTGAAGGGAGGACACACGCACGGTATATTAATTGCATGCAATAAGGTATTCTGAAATATATCAAATTCTGGTATCATGCAAATGGATGATAGAATTTGGTGAGAATCAAGGCAGATACAATATGTTCACTGTGATTTATACTCTAAAGGTTTGTGATGTGACATAACTAATCCTTAGGAAACTGATGGTGCACAGCTTTTTCACAGGAGTTTCTGTATAAAGTATTTTATTTTGTAAGGAGAAAACCACTTTTAGTTACAGTATGTATTTGTTTAGACTCTTGTATGTGTGTTTCAATGTTTGAAAAACATTTTTATGATAACCAGAGTTACATATGTTACCAAGGTTACCATATGTTACCAATGTTTCTTGTGGTTTGACTGAAAGTGGACCTATCATGTTAAACAAAAAAAAAAAATGTAATAAATGCTAGCATTAGGCATAGATTTTTTTTTTATGTCTATAAATGTATTGACACCTTCCCACCAGTCCATCAAATACTCAGCATTAGAATTTTCAGTTTAAACCTGATCTGAGGCCAAGTGTTAGAGAAATTGTATGTGACTATACGGGTAAGGATGTTGTAGTCTTATGGGTAGAAATATGCGTAGGAGGAATTAAGGTATATCTATTAATAGTCCCCAAACATTAATACTGATGAGGAACTGCTATCTTAAATTTAAACAGCTGCAAACCTGGGTAACATTTTAGTTATAGGATTTTAATTATCCAGACATTGACTGAGTCAGAGGTACTAGTAGTACAGTTAAGGGAAACAGGTTTTTGAACCTGATAAATACTTCCATGTCTTAGTAGAAGCGCCAACTAGAAGAGATGCTTGTCTGGATCTTGTCATAAATAGTAATGTTGACTTATTTTCAAACATTCAAGTTAGGGAGCACTTGGGAAATTGTGACCATAAAATGGTGTCATTTGAGATTAACTAAAAAAAAATATTCTTAAAGGGATACTAGAGTGTTAGGAATGCAAATCTGTATTCCATAACACTATATTTCCCTATGATTCCCCTCCTTCATCCCCCCCCGTGGCCCCGCCACACCCCCCACCAACGTTATTTATTGAGAATGCAAACTGTGCTCGTCACTGAGTCTGCACTCTGCCTCCTCTGACGTCATCCGACAGGGGTAACCTAATGCGCATGCGCAGCAAGAGCTGTGAGCGCATTAGACCGTCACTATAGGAAATAATTGAATCAAGCATGAGGATGTTCAGTGTCCTTTAAGGGACTCAGAGTCCCTTAGAATCCCAGAAGTCTATCAGTGGCCTCTGATCCTGCAAGGTAATTATTGCAGTTTCTCACAAACTGCAATGACTAAGTGGGAGAGGACCACTGCACCCAGACCACTTCAATGAGATAAAGTGGTATGGGTGTCTATAGTGTCCCTTTATTTTAAAAAGGCTAAATTCAATAAGATACGTGCATGTTTACACTAACTTGACTGGCAGGAATTATTTACTGGCAGAAGCACAGAAGATAAATGTGTTTAAACGAATTTTATAAATGTACATTTCTCAATAAATACCGTTGGGAAACAAATGGAAAAGAAACAAATTAAAACCAATGTGGCTTAGCATTAGGATCTGTCAAATGATAAACTGTAATAAAATGGCATTCAAAACATTTAAATTTGAGGAGTTTTCTTCCTATAACAAATATAAACATGCCTGTGTGTACTGGTTCACTTTTATGTGTGTGGTGGGTGGATTTTGTGTATTGAGGAATCTAAGTGTGTGTAGGGGAGTCTGAGCATGGCTGAATGTAGTGTAGTGTGTGTGTTTTGCCCAACTCCTGTTTACCTTTCCCTGGTGATCCGGTGGAGGCACACTGAGAGTAGAATACCTGGTGACTCAGCTGGGAAGCAACCACTTTAAAAGCTCCCACATGGTCTGGCACTCTGTTAATTAATCAGAGTTCTGGCTGCAGCAGGGGACTTAGAGATATCTCTTAAGATAGAGATTCAGGCTACACAGCTCCCTCAAGGAGGTGAGGGTGTTGAGGGCTGAGCATGAAGATTAAAAGAGGAAGGGTCCCCTATGGCTGGATCTCAAGGGCCCACCAGGCCCTAGACTGCTACCTATGCCACCTTATGGGTAATCTAGCTCTGCTCCAAACTACAAAAACATATTTATCTTTATTATACATTTAATGTTTGGGGGCAGTTAGAGCGCAATGAGAACCTGCTGTCAGGGGTCGCGGTCTGATGTCCGGGACCCAGTATGCCTGATCTTAATATTAGGAGTCACATTGTGGAAATGGATTGGCAGGGTCTGGTGCATGGTAACCGCACACCCCCTGGTGTTGAGCACCAGCGTTTGTGCGGCCATATACCAGAACCCTGATGCAGCTTCAGCGGATCCCAGAAACTAGGAGCTTGAAAATAAGCAGACCTCCCTGGAGCTGAATAGGGAGGCTCCGCAGCAGGAATGTATCCAGTACAGAAACAAAGCAAGGCTAGCATAGGCACCAAACAAGAAAACAAGACAAAATTAGGAGAACCCAGAACCGGAGCAGGACAGAAAGCAGAACCCAGAACATGTACGCAAGACATGAGGAAAACAAGAACAGGACATGAACTGGGAATACAAGACAAAATAAAACAAGACCAGAGATACAAGACAATACAAGAGGAGTAGACAAGTGCAATTCGTTTCGGGCCGAATTTCGCGTAATTCGGACATTCGGGTTCTTCCGAATGTCCGAATAGCTGAATTGCCGAAGTGCCGAAATTACCGAATTGCTGAAGTGCTGAAGTTGCCAAAGTTCCGAAGCACAGTATTGCCTAAGTACTAATATACTTACCCAGTGAAAGAAGAAGAATGTTACATTTTTAAATAAATAGTATACAAACATAGCCAGGATTCAGCTGTAAGCATTTGCAACACTTACAACAATCAAGTAACATACATTCATATAAAATGTAAGTTACTTAGCCAGTCATGTAATGACAGGAATTAATAAGTAGATAACTCCCTAATTTCCACAGTATTAGGGAGCTATCTACTAAAAGGCTGAAAGACCTGAATTGGTCTTTCAGCTATACCTCGAGTAGGGGCATGTCTATTAAACAGTGAGCAGCCTGTTTTTTGGTTTTTTTAAATTGCGTTGGTTATTATGGATTTTTATTTGGCCTTTTTTGGGGCTGAAAAAAGAAGATTTTAGAAGAAAGAAAACATCAAATGGTAAGTTTATTGTTATTTTTACAGGTACCCAGTTAAAGGTCCCCCTTCATTATTTTTAGGGTGAGGGGGTAGATAGGGGTTTATTTTTTGGGGGAGGTGGTGACTAGGGGTTTGGGAACCCCTAGTCACCTGGGAGGGAGGGGGGTTAAGTTTGTATTTAGGGCTCCCACCAACCGCTCAGGTGTGTGGGCCAGGGGGGAGGACATTAGGTCCCCCCCAATTTGTATTTAGGGCCCCCACCCACCGCTCAGGGGTGGGGGCCAGGGGGGAGGACATTAGGTCCCCCCCAATTTGTATTTAGGGCCCCCACACACTGCTCAGGGGTGGGGGCCAGGAGGAGGACATTAGGTCCCCCCTTTATTCTTGTTTAGGGCCCACACCCACCGCTCAGGGGTGGGGGCCAGGGGGGAGGACATTAGGTCCCCCCCCAATTTGTATTTAGGGCCCCCACCCACCGCTCAGGGGTGGGGGCCAGGAGGAGGACATTAGGTCCCCCCTTATTCTTGTTTAGGGCCCCCACCCACCGCTCAGGGGTGGGGGCTAGGGGGAAGGACATTAGGTCCCCCCTTATTCTTGTTTAGGGCCCCCACCCACAACTCAGGGGTGGAGGCCAGGGGGAGGACAATAGGTTCCTCCCCAATTTGTATTTAGGGCCCCCACCCGCCGCTCAGGGGTGGAGGACAGGGGGAGGACAATAGGTCCCCCCCCCCCTTTATTCTTGTTTAGGGCCCCCACCCACTGCTCAGGGGTGGGGGCCATTGCTCAGGGGTGGGTGCCGGGGGGGAGGACAATAGGTCCCCCCCATTTGTATTTAGGATCCCCACCCGACGCTCAGGGGTGGGGGCCAGGGGGGAGGACATTAGGCCCTCCCCCAATTTTTATTTAGGGCCCCCACCCGCCGCTCTGGAGTGGGGGCTGGTGGGGAGGACAGTAGGTCCTCCCCCCTTTTTTTACTTTAGGGCCCCTACTCGCCGCTCAGGGACCCTTTTTTTTTTTTAACAGTGAGCAGCCACTAATACTAAGTAATTTTTACTTAGTATTAGTAAATTTGTCTGAAAGACCAATTTAGGTCTTTCAGCCTTTTGGTAGATAACTCCCTAATACCGTGGGAATTAGGGAGTTATCTACCAAGCAGCTGCAAGAAAAGTCCCGAAATGCCAGATTTCCAAAGTGCCGAAGTGTTCAATTGCCAAAGTTCCAAAGTGGTGAAGTTCCGAAGTGCCAAAGTGTTCAAGTGCCGAAGTGTCGAATTGCCGAAGTCCCGAATTTCAGAATGCCGAACCGAGCCGAATATTTTCCCCATGCACATGCCTAAAGAGGAGACATAACTAAGTACTATATATGTAAAACATTGGAGATTTAGACATACATAAATGGCCAAGATGTATGCAGCCCACCAACTGCGTCAAAGTCCTCCAATTAAGGTGGGTCCTATCTACTTAGATATGCATGACTAAATAAACAATAATAAAACACACACAGCACTTACCTGCAAGAAAAGGGCAGAGGACCTGTAGCAACTGCCAACAGGACAAAACTGAAACAAAAGGATTCATGGAAAAGGAACGGGTGTGGCAACATAAAACAAACATTTAACCCCTTCCCGACCGTGGACGGAAATTTTCCATCAACCTTGTCCTTCAGTTAAGGACCGTTGACGGAAAATTTCCGTCATTTTCTTAAGTTAACCCCAGATCGCCGCGATCGCGGCAATCGCGGGGTTAACGGTGCTCCGGTCTGCCTCTGCATTAGAGGCAGACCGGGAGCACCCGATCGGGCTGCCCCAGCACCGGTGCTCGCTCTGACAGCATGTCAGAGCGAGCACATGTGCTCCACATACTCACCTTCCGCCTCCCTGCACTTCCGGGTTCTGTGTGAAGTGCAGGGAGACGGATCAGTGCTGATCTGCTTCCCTGTGTAAAAAAAAAAAAAATTAAAGTTAAATCCCACCCCTCCTGCCCCTGTTTTAATAAAATTAACCCCTTCCCTGCCAATTGATCACTGACTACAGTGATCAATTGGCAGGGTATACATTTTAATGTCATCTGATTTTTTTTTTTTAACCCCTGAGGGTTAATTATTTTTTTTTTAACCCTCAGGGGTTAAATTTATTTTATTAATTAATTTAAATATTAAAAAATTATATATTTAGCTAGCTGGGATGGGTGGAAGTTAGTGGGGAATTGGGGAATTTGGTGTTAGGCTAACTAGGGGTTAACGTTAAAAAAAGTTTTAAAATAAGCTTTAAAAAGGTAAAAAAAAATTTTTTTTTAAATGTTTTAGTAACGTTTAAGTAAAAAAAAAAAAAATACCACCCCCTTTACCCAGTCTAAATAAAAATTAACCCCTTCCCTGCCAGCTGATCACTGCCTACAGTGATCAAAATACAGATCACAGTATTATACTGTGATCTAATTTTTTTAACCCCTGAGGATTAACTTTTATTTATTTTTTTTAACCCTCAGGGGTTCCATTTATTTAATTAATTAATTTAAATATTTTATAATTAAATATTTTGCTAGCTGGGGTGGGTGGGAGTTATGGGAAAATGGGGAATTTACGGTTAGTGC